ACGGTTCGAACACTGAAGCCATAAGTATAGGAGCAGAGACGTCCTCCCACTCACCAAACAGGCAGAAGCAGTCCATTAAAGCCAAATCTCTACTGATGAGAATGTGTTGTTTTTTTTTAATGCTAAACTTGTAGTTTTCCAGTTCTAGTCATCCATGAAAATGTTCGCTTGGACAATGCACGTGCTTAGCGCGTGACGTTATGATGGTGCATGATGTCTAATAAGCGCCAAAAGAAACTGTTCAAGCTTTAGATATAAATTAACAAAGTATTTAATTTTCCTAAGTTAAGAGATAGACAAAGAGCAGATATTTGAATGCTAAATAAGAATTATTAAAAAAAAATGTATTTAAGGTATATCTTTTACATATAAAACTGGGCACTGGAAGTAATTTTAATAGATGACTATAAGAAAATGTTGATTTAATTCATCTTAGGTTCATTCTTGCTTAGTATGATGCGCATGAAAACTTACAACAGTTAATCAACTTAAATATATCTTATACGGCATGATAACTGGTTTCTACAAACTGAATATAGGGCCACAACTATCTGTAGAATATAAATATGTATTCAATCACGTAATGTGTTGGGTCAGTTAAGGGAATAATAATAACAACAACAACAAAAAAAACAAAAAAAAACGTGTTGAGTTCACAGTACAGGAAGTTAGAACGGGTTCAGATGGTACAGCGATAAGCTTGATGGTTCATAACGCAAAAATTCTGGATTCGTTTTCCATGGTGAGCATAGCTTAGATAGCCCATTTTACAGTGTGAAACAGGTAAGGAGTGTAAACAGGATATGTGTGTGAAATAGGTAAGGAGTGTAAACAGGATATGTGTGAAATAGGTAAGGAGTGTAAACAGGATATGTGTGAAATATGTAAACAGTGTAAACAGGATGTGTGAAATCGGTGAATAGTGTAAACAGAATATGTTTTACAGCTCAAATAAAACAAACATTAAATTGTAAACTATGCTTTAATTAATTATTAATTGTTATCACATTTCAATTTTTATTGCAATATAAAAATGTCTTGTTATAGAAACACGCTTGATTGAAATTCTCTCTCAATTTCTGTAAGTCAATTTTTACTTTATAGAGCAATTGACAGGAGTAAACGATGGTGTGAATATTATATTTCAAGACGTTGAAAGTTCGACTAATGTAAGATTCATTGCATTACTCGTTTTTTTTTTGACGTTGAAAATATTTGTCTGTAATTTTGGCCATTCTTTTAAAGCAATATATACAGTTTCTTTATATATACAGTTTCTTTTAAAGCATATATACAGTTTCTTTATATATACAGTTTCTTTAAAGCATATATACAGTTTCTTTATATATACAGTTTCTTTAAAGCATATATACAGTTTCTTTAAAGCATATATACAGTTTCTTTATATATACAGTTTCTTTGAGCTAAATTTAAAAATCATCTCTCAGTCTTTCTCGAGAAAATATTTCGGAAGAAGTAAATAAGAAATCTGTACACACCACGATATTATTTCACGTAAATCTCTATAATAAAATCTGTGAGCTTCAAAACCCATTTTACCCCATACGAGACTTCTAATTTGAATATTTTCAAATTTTAACAGCTTTTGTTATATTTATATTAAACCTCTATAAGTCGGTTCAGTTAGATCTAAGAGCCCTTAAGCCCCCATTTGAACACCAACCTTTGCTAGGTACCCGGCAGGCAATGTAGGGTTTAAAAGTAATGTTATACATGGAGCGTGGGCCGCCTTTTCCACTATTTTGAGCTGTAGCACACTAACCGTTCATCAAATGCAAAGTTACCAGTACAATGCTTGGCGTTAAACGCCACTTTGTTCTAACGTGGGCTTCACGCATTTTGCTCCGACTTCCTCGCTCAGTAGAGTCCTGGCCCAGCATGGCCAGGTGGTTAGGGAGCTTGACTCGCAATCTGCGAGTCGCGGGTTCGAATCCCCCGTCTCACCATATATATGCTCGCCCTTTCAGCCGTGGGGGCGTTATAAAGTTACGGTAAATCCCACTATTCTTGGTAAAAATGTAGCCCAAGAGTTGGCGGTGGGTGGTGATGACTAGCTGCCTTCCCTCTAGTCTTACACTGCTAAATTAGGTTAGGCCTAAACACAGATGCTTCTTGAGTAGAGCATGGTCTTATTGTTGACACTTTCAAAATCATTAGCTAAATTATATGGAATAAAAATTCAAGTGATCTTAAAGATATTTTTATGTGTGATCTACCGAACTGATCATTACAAAACGATTCTGATCACAATTGAATCATGATGGATTTACTCTAATCAATAGATATGTTTCTTCACAAGACTCGGAAGATTTTAAATTGTGCTAAGCTTTAACTGCAGTGCTTAGATGACAAGCAACATTGTTAGACATATTTGAGGTGCGACTCAGCAGTACTGTAGATGTTGCTACTAAAACATAAATTGTACAAGACATGTGTGGTTAGTATATTCTGCCAGTTGTACTAAAATATGATAATATTCATTATTTATTTTTTTTTACAAGATGAGCTCATTAATTCTCTATTTCTCTTCAAATTTGACTTTTAAAAGTTCTAAAAATACAACTTTTTTGGCAAATTATGGGAGTGTACTTCTTTGTGGCACCTTTGACATGAGCATCAAGGGGAGCGTTGAGCTTAAGCTAGGCAAGTGAATGGAATGAGTCAAGCGGAAAGGCACGCGTACAGGGATCCAATTGCTTCAAGAAGCTCTGTGGCATAAGACTAGTTCTGCTCGTGCCGATCTCTAGTCAAGGCCCCCGAGAGCGGCGCCAGTAAACAGAGTGTGTTCATTGCTTGCTGGCGCATGTGCACGTTCACTTGTTTTGTCGCGTGGTTTGCCCAGAAACTCGAGTGAACTTTTCAGAGATACCCTCAGTTCCGTTAAGCGCTTGTGTTCATCGAGAAGCACAGTGCACCCAGAAAATCGGTCCACTACTAGCATGCACACCTAAGTTTCCGTTTGCACTTTGGAGTTGAAAGAGTTTAGTGGCCAAACTTTGAACCATATATTCTGCTACAGAACCAAAGGTCGGTCTCTGACCTGCTCTGACAAGCAAGACGACCTAGTCACCTAGACGGGTTAGGCCTGTTGTTTCTGTCAAGGTAATGGACTTTTCTCATGTAGCTTCCTTATGATATTTGTCACTCTTACGTAGTCAACAAAAAATATAGTTCCTATTAAATGCACATTTTGCTGTAAGGTGTAACTCGTATTAGTCCTTTATCGTGCATATATGACACGAAAGTATGAAAAATATGCTGTTGGATATATTACCAAGAATTCTTATTTCTCGTGTGTGAAATAGGTAAATAGTGTAAACAGGATATGTGTGAAACAGGTAAGGAGTGTAAACAGGATATGTGTGAAATAGGTAAGGAGTGTAAACAGGATAAGTGTGAAATAGGTAAGGAGTGTAAACAGGATATGTGTGAAATCGGTGAATAGTGTAAACAGAATATGTTTGAAATAGGCGAATAGTGTAAACAGAATATGTTTGAAATAGGTGAATAGTGTAAATAGAATATGTTTGAAATCGGTGAATAGTGTAAACAGAATATGTTTGAAATAGGTAAGGAGTATAAACAGGATATGTAAAATGTGGTTAAAATAGGGGAATAATGTGAACAGGATATGTGAAATGTGGTTAAAATGGGGGCACTTGATTTACGAGATAGCGTTAACTAAATGGTGCCTGTCATACGTATTATGGTTAAATAAGGTGTATCACATATGTGTGAAATGGTTAAATAAAGTACGTCAGTTACGTACTACATGGTTAACCATTGTATAGCAGTATAAAAACCATTTCAGCTGCCAGGTATATGTGTTCTTGTTAAATAAGGTATACCACATACATGTTTCATGGTTAAATAAAGTACGTTAGATACGTGTGACATAGTTAACCATTGTATAACATTAACTCAATTTATTTTTTGTCAGAAATGAATTAATCGCAGAAAATTTTTAAATATTTGAAGTATTCAACATTAATTGTTGTTTTGTCTATTTGGACTTTTTGTAATATGTTGGTGATATATCAATTAGACGAAAGTTTAATAGTGTGTGTGGCTAGTCATCGTATCTATTCTACACGCGGTAAAAAATACAAATTGCAGGAAGAATTAATTATAGTGTTATACTCGTTTTGGTTACTAAGTATTTTCGTCCTGTTTGCTATTGTGTTGTAAGGCAGGCTACAACAAAATGATAAGGTTGCTTTATCCGTTTCATATTGTGTTGTAAGGCGGGCCACAACAGAACGCCAAGGTTGCTTTGTTTGTTTCTCATTGCGTTGTAAGGCAAGCTACAACAGAACGCCAGAGTTGTTTTATGTGTTTCATGTTATGTTCTAAGGCAAGCTACAACAGAATGGCAAGGTTGTTTTGTCTCTTTCTCATTGCGTTGTAATGCGGGCTACAACAGAACGCCAGGGTTGCTTTATGTGTTTCTCAGAGCTTTGTAATATAGCCTTACAACAGAGCACACAATATGTGTTTTTGTTAGTTTTGCTGAGTTTTATCATATGGCCTTGCAACAGGACACAAAACACGCCGATTAGTTTTTCATAGTGTTGTCTTTTGACGTTACAACAAATCACGAAGAACGTCGTCTTGTTGGTTCCCATAGTTTAGTCATTTGGTTGTGTTTGACCTATTTGTAATAATTTGTCATATTGTATGGAAAGAAGCTGATTACCATAGAACACAAAAACTTGTTTGACATGTGTGGCTTGGAACCTGCCTTTCAATTTGACTAAAGGTCACACAGAAACCTTTTTTTTGAAGGTTTTAAAAATGTGCCATTCAAATGATTATATTAAGTACTAAAATGCAAAGGCATCTTAGTCTTTTGACACGATGATCCTAACTGAACCAAGTTTACGGGTTGGAGATCGGTGATTTTGTGTTACAGCTAATCTGTTTTTATGGGATCATTGAATAGAAAATTCATTAAAAGGGTGTTACAGCAGCTGTTTATAGTAGATGAGACTAAACACAGTTACACGTATTCAGTAAGACAACAAATCAACGTCTAGTTTTATGCACTGCTGTCACAGCAGCTGTTTTTAGTAGATGAAACTAAACACAGTTACACGTATTCAGTAAGACAACAAATCAACGTCTGCGCGAAATGACAAAGTTCGAAAATGAACTTATCAGCCTATCATTGTATAGGTTGTACTTTACAAGCGAATTCCATGTGACAATGTGAATAACCGTCATAACGTTTATAATTTAATAAACATACTGTAAAAAAAAAAACGTGAGTTAATGACCCAAAAATATTCAGAATGAACTATCTTACGTCTTCAACAAGGTCTGAAGATAAATAATAAGCAATAAAGTATAGGAAGTCGTAATTTAGAAACAAAACAGATTAGGATACTCTTTCATAAATTAGAAACCCAAAATAGTAATATTAAAATATATTAATGGAGAAGAACTATTATACATTCGAGGCATCGGTATGTGAACAGTTTCAGAATTGGCACTTGTTTGAGGTTCATGATCTATTCAGCTAAAAGAGGCGCTCAGAATGTGCACTGTTGTTTTAAATCTGCCGCAGCTGTTAATCTGTTGAGGTATGCTGTTATATTTTATAACTTTGCCAAGTACTCTTTTTCGTGGTTAACTTGTAAGAAACACGACAAAAGTGTATATACAAAAGTTGCTTTTAAAAATAGAATTCAGCAGTGCATAAAACTAAACCTTGATTTATTGTTTTACTGAATACGTGTAGCGGTGTTTAGTCTCATCTACTATAAACAGCTGCTGTAACAGCAGTGCATAAAACTTACTATTTGACGCTTGTCTAACAAGGTCTACGGTAGGTAATGTTAGCAGGGAAGTACTATTTGACGCTTGTCTAACAAGGTCTACCCGTAGACCTTGTTAGACAAGCGTCAAATAGTACTTCCCTGCTAACATTACCTACCCCAGGTAACGTTAGCAGGGAAGTACTATTTGACGCTTGTCTAACAAGGTCTACGGTAGGTAATGTTATCAGGGAAGTACTATTTGACGCTTGTCTAACAAGGTCTACGGTAGGTAATGTTATCAGGGAAGTACTATTTGACACTTGTCTATCAAGGTCTACGGTAGGTAATGTTAGCAGGGAAGTACTATTTGACGCTTGTCTAACAAGGTCTACGGTAGGTAATGTTATCAGGGAAG